AAACAGTTTATTAAACAGGCTCCTCATCCAAGAGCCTGCAGATATCTGCAAAGTTCCAATAAAACAAATACTGCATGAGCTAAACTTACCATCTCTGTTGGTGTCCATCTGCCTGAAGATCTTCTCTGTCCTCTTCTCAGGCGTTGACTCGTCTTCAGGCATCTTCATCACAGAGGACACCATCTTATATATTGCCTAAAGAAAAGGACATATGTTGAGGTAATATCAGCTGGAAGATGTGATGCTAACTGCTGGAGAAACATCTCCCACTGTTCATACGGCAGGTCTGCTGTATAGGTGCATCTGAGGCTTGCATTTATAGAAACATATGTATTTATTTAATCTAAATATATGCTTTTACACTAACAGGAATTCATGTCATTTATTCTAACTGTATGTAGTATGTTGGACTAACATATGGGAAGAAAAAATATGGTATGGTAATACAAGAAATTAAATATTATATTTAGAAACCACATGTTTACTACCAGGTTTGATAAAAGAAAACTGAATATTGTTCTCCTGAGCCATCTGAACCTGTCTCCTCAGACGTCCCACAATTTGTCAAATATCATTGGACCAGAACCAGAATAATGTGTTGAAAACAACCATAATAAGCTTCTTCCCATTTACCATTTAGAGAATGTGTGCAGAATAAAAAACCTTTCTGCTGCTGTCCTGACAGAACTGACAGCTTATTTCGCTCCATTAAAATGTATAAGACAGACATTTTTGCTTACTCTGTTATTAACAACTCCTCCATTTCCACCTTCTTATCATGACTCACTGATTTCCTCGTGTTGATATAGAGCCCTTCCTGGCAACAAACCAAGAACTATTAAACTGGTGTCAGTTCTGTCAGGAAGATTAGCAGACAAGTCATGGGTATTAATAACCTTCACTTAGCAATATGGATTGGAGCCTTGAGTGTTTGGGTTAACCCCATGACAATCTGAGGGTTCGTTCCAAGCTTTCCAAAACCCAGACATTAACGGCAAATATAACATTTAGAAGAGAAATAATAAATCAATAAATAATACTAAAAATATAGAATCTTGTACTACATTATTTTGGTATTTATTTGTATTTCCTGTTAATATCTTTAGTGCTGTATTTTACTCAAATTTCATATGTTTATCCACTAAATTAGGCCTGATGGGGTGAATTTGCCTTGTTTTCCATAAACTATTTGTTCTGCAATGCAACTGTTGCTGTCTCAGTGCATCACAGTGTTATGACTAAAACACACAAAGCTTCTGCTGCCAGAAAACATCTTCAACATCCTCAAAGCAAATAAAAAAAACCAGAACCAGGTCCAATATCTGAAAGCTAACACGCGTACGTTATGCAACATGAATAATCCATACAGGCAAACATAACAAGCTGTTACATACTTTACCATTCAGAAGTTTTGCAACTCTTCTCATTCAAAGTGAACACATACATGTGTGTGAAGGTTAGACTGGTACTGTGGTCCACCAGTTCATAAAGGTATTATTCCAGTATGAAGTCAGCCTATACGCTGTGATTTGCTAACCTGTGATTGGATGCTCATGCCTTAGGTAGACACAGATGGAGACAAACATATGCACACACACACTCCCTAACAGACTATTTACCCGTGTTGTCTCCCCTGCTCTGTGTTTCATGGCAGGCTGTTTGGCAGTAAACAGTGAAATCATAGCCCACTCTCTCTGTCTCTAATAAAGAGGCGGGTTTGAGGGGAATGGGGGCCGACATGTGAACAGAGGAGGGCTGATTGTGATTACAGAGCAGTGAGAGCTTCATATAGGTGTTGATTATGCTGCCTATTACACAGAAGCAGGATGCTCAATTAACTCCAAAACATCTTCAGACTGTTCCACATGATGCCTCCCAACAGTGTGCTGTTATTTCCTTGATGCTGTAAATGTAACTTATGTGGGATTTCAGACATTTTCATAATCAAAATCACAGATAACACAGACGAGGCAGGCCAATCGAAGCAGAGCTGGGCTTCACCTATTGGGGGCGGACTCACTCATAAATCCAGTCATCCCAGTTAAAGTATGTTCTCACTTTATGCCACTTCTGTAATGCTCATAAGCCAAGGTAAGATGTAAAGACAACTATAAAATGACTATTTATAGATATTTGAGGATTTTTGTGTTGTAACACCAAATTACAAATAAAAATGATTTTATCTCTTTTCAGTCTTTAATATTGCTGATGTGCTCAGGTAATCAACTAATCAGAAGCCCACGACAACAAATTACCTGTATAACAATAATTGTTGTTGCTTTAACAACATCTAAATAACACAATAAAATGACCTGAGCTAAAGGGCAAAACATCGTCGCCTGTACTCTGCGCGTCCGTCCGCCGGACATGTCCGCGCAAAGCTCAATTGTTACGACTACGTACGTGGTGCCAACATAGCAAACTCCATGCAGAAACACCGAAGACCAGAATTCAAACCCTAGGACCTTCTTGCTTCAACAAAGCAGTGCAGCCTATAAAGGCCATTCCTGCTACAAAATCAAGTAGTGAAAACAGTGGCAATAAAATGTTCCCTTCAAACTTTGTGGCCAAAAGAAAACTCATTCTTTTCCAGCTGAGAGGTGCACCCAAAATCGTATGGTTCCTATGAGCCAGCGACAATGTGTGAACATCCCCCAGTTACCCCATAGTACAGACATGCTTCAGGGTACATTTGCCTCTGAACTTTGGATGCTCAAATGGAAAGCTTCCTGGATTGTTGTGATATTTAGGACATTTTCCAAGAACACAACATGTTTAAGAGACATACATGGAACACTCACTGTTACAAAAGTGCATCTCTCTCATTCTAATCTGATCTAATCTCAAATAAAAACCAAAATGCACACCTTCCTATCCACACATCTACTAAGAAAAGAGGCCTTTATCGCTGCAGATTGCCCTTAAAGATTAATCATTCATATGTTTTTTCTGTGAAAAATAAAAAGTGGAACCTTTATTTAGCCTTCCTTTATTATTTAGGTTATTAAACAAATTTTATTGTGATTTTGAGTGACTGACCAACACAAAGTAGTGCATAAAAGTGGAAGGAAAATAATACATGTTTTTTTTTACAAATAAAAAATCTGAAAAGTGTGGTGCATATTTGTATTCAGCCCACTTTACTGAGAAGCCCTTAAATAAAATAATAAAATTAAGGGGTTCTTTTACACTTTTCAAATCCATTATTGTTTTTAAAGCAAATCTTGTTTCCGTCTATAAATAAACTGAATCACAGACACAAACATTTCAAGTTTCATAGGGCTTCAAGTATTTTCAATAGTTTCATTCTGTAAAATAACAGACAGTACCCTCCCAGGGTAATAAAAACTAGATTAACGGTACTGATGCTCATTGTTTAGTAAATGATGAACAAATGATGATTTGGCTTGTTTTTGATTTGGCAAACTGTGCACTTCGTAATCATCAAATCAGACATCGTTAGGCCACATGTTTCAAAGCCAAAGCTTGTCTAAAGTTTGGTCACAGAACATAAAATAGTCTCAAGCAGAGTAACAAATATTTGATTACAACAGCAACAAGAAAAAAAACACAATATTAAAACGTAAAAAATTTATATGGAACTACTTGCTGTAGCTTGATCGCTCTGATTAGTACGAAGAATCCCTGATGTTCCATCCAGATCACAAAAAAAGACCGGACTCTAGATAAGGACGCAACTTAAGCTTTTATCACAACAAAACCCGGTTTGTTGTCTCAAGGTCATCAGATAAGCAAATGAAGCACATCTCAACATTTTTAAGATAAGGGAATAAAAATAGGTATTTAAAATTCATCTCTTTCACTTTCATAAATATTGAATGTGCTGTTGGTCATTTAAGGCTGCGTTTCTCTAATTTCAAAACCCAATCAAGACTAGAAATTGTTTTACTACAGTGCTGTAAAAAAGTATTTCCTCCTTACAGATATTGCTTTTTGTCACTTAAATGTTTCAGGTCATGAAACCAATAAAGATAAACTCAGTAAATAAAAAAGCATTGACAAGTAACAGTTTCATTTTTTGCTCTAGTTTCACAGTCCACAGCCAAGCATAAATACTGTCAGACCAATAGAATCAAGACATCATTTAAATAGGACCTTTTTGACAACATGAAGTAGGCAGAACAATGTCCAAAAGCAGAACCAAAATAGAACCCTAGAGAGCTTTAAGACAAAACTACTGCTGACAAAAAAAGAACACAAAGACCCGTCTCACACAAAAAAAAAAACATCTTAATTACCTTCAAGACTTTTGAGGAAATATTCAGCAGAGTGACAACTCAAAGGTGGATTTTATTTGCTCTCTACCAGGAAGTCCTGAAGGAGAATGTCCAGCCCACAGCCTCAACCTCAAGCTCAAGCGCAAGCACATTCTGGTTGTGTGGTAGGACAAAGATGTGAAGGAAACCAGCAAGTTCACCTCTGACTGGCTAATAAAAATAAGATGAACGTTTTAGAGTGGCCTAGTCAAAGTCCATACTCAAAGCCGATCGAGATGCTGTGGCTAGACCTTTAACAGGCTGTCCCTGCTTGAACACTCTTTAATATTGTTAAAGTAAAATAATCAGCAAATCAGACTGAGTAGGCTTAAATTACTTCACAAGGATGTTAAAGACTCATTGCCAGTAATTACATCCAAGGGTGGCACAGCCACTATGGAGGTTTGGGGGAAATAACTTTTTCACATAGTCAAGCTGATTGAGATAACTTTATTCTCTTAATGAATGAAAACATCATTTGAAAGCTGCATTTTTTTATTTACTCAGGTTTTCACCATTACATGTAACTTGTTACTTCCCAACCACAATAGAAGGTAAAGTATTTCAATTAAAATTGTGTGGTTATGTTTTTACAAAGTAACAAGCACCAGTAATAAATGAGACCTTCTCCCGAGAATTATGACAAGCTACTATTCTCATGCCTTAGGTTTGGTTTTGGTAAGCATTACTAAGTGTTGAGTGATTGTGAACTTACTTATAGAAGCCTGGGTAGCTCAGTTGGTAGTCCAGACCTTTAATCTGAGGGTTGTGGTTTCGAGTCCACATTCAGGCCAATTTACTTTATTTCCTATGCATACCATTGGAAAAACAGGGCACCCAAATAGTGAAGTTACACACAACAGCGAAAGTTAAATCTTTTAGGAGAATGCACTTGTTTCTAATCTCATGAAAAACAAAAAATATCGGAGAGAGAAACTCACAAACTCCCAGGTTGTTTTAGTGTAAAATCAATGGTTTTCCTGTTCAGCTCAGCATCTGGTATTGCAGGTACTCTTCAGTTTAATATTTTCATGAGAAATCTGGCAACCATCAACTGTCACTCTCATGCCTTAAGTTTGGTTGTGATATACAGTTCTGAGTGTCGAGTGCTTGGAGTGCCACATAGCGGAGTTCGAGTGGCTCAGTCGAGTTTTAAGAGGCAAAAAGAAAGGGATGACATCCATATGTCAACAGTGTCAATAGAGGAAGCTAAAGACAGTTTAAAATGCTCAACAGCAGAGCCTCGTGCCTAGGGATCGGTACCTTTCACATTTGCTCTGATACTCGGTACCTGGGAATCTGTACCGCTACTCAATGGTACCAGTATTCTGTACTATAGTGTGTGTTTATGTGGTAATAAATGTTAATTCATTCAATAATAAAATCTCAAAAATTTTCAATTTAACAATTATTTCTCAATATATAAACTTTAATGAATATATCAAAACAACATCCAACTGTTTGTATTGTAACATCTCAGTTGTTTCAAACATTTCTTCAACATTAAAACCCTTAACTGTCTACGCAGCGTAATGCACAAATTAAAACCCAGCCATGTTGCTGCCTGCAGACGAGTCGCTAACGAATGCAGGCGTGCTAACGGTGCTGAATGCAGGAGTTGTAGCTGTAGATCTGAGGCTGACGAAAATTGTCTCTTCAGCCTTGACAAAAATCTTATGCTTAACCAGGTCAGTGTATAAACACACACACTCAGAATATATAAATGGCTGGGCCCATGGTTTTCTCTGACTGCAGCCTGTTTAAACTGTCCACATATTGGACAGACCATTCTTATGGAAGAAAACTGTGAAATGTTTATTTATCTTCTATCTACTGTATTTATATGTTAAGTCTATATCTATCTTTTTTCTCCATCTTTCTGTCTCTTTATCACATCTTTTATCTGTTTGTCACTTTCCATTTTTCTTTTCTCTGTCCATCATGTATGTATTTAATGACCAAGCTCAGTCTCATAGATCCAGGGGGATAATTTCATCTCCGACAGCCAAGCCGGGTCAGAATCTTTTATTCTGTGGTGACTGGACAGGGCATGAAACACTTGGTCAATGTTGTATACTTCTACCTTCGCCATATGTATACCAGGAGTAGGAGAGTTAACCCTGCTGCTGCTCGCAGGAGAGGAAGGGCTGCCATCAAAACTAAATTTGGCGCTTTTGAAAACCGCAGATATCCTTGCCTGGTTTCTAGGTTTTAGCGGCAAGTTTTCTGTCCGCTGTCAGGAGCTTGTGTTCACCTGCGTGCAAGCGCACGTAACTCAGTGTGTCAGCATCAGTGTTGGTGACGCAGAGCATGAGGAGTGTGTTTTTGTCCAGCTTTTGTCAAGTTTGGCTATAGATAATAGAGTAGCGACGATGCAGGGACAGAAATCCTTCACGACATGATCTGTTAAAATGAAGGACATTAACTGTTAAAACATACTACTACTACATGGTGTGATCCTCTTGGGGGGGCGGGTGGTCTGGTTGGCGGGCCGGGACGCCCCCCTTGAATCAGAATCAGAATCAGCTTTATTGCCAAGTTTGTACATACAAACAAGGAATTTGACTCCGGTACATTTTGCTCTTTATATAAAAATAAATATTTATATATAAATAAATAAATATATAAATAAATAAAAAGGTGCATTTGCAACATCTGTATGCTGTTGTTTTGTACTCTATTGAATGTTCAACAGAGAAACAGCCTGGGGGAAGAAACTGTCTCTGTGGCGGCTGGTTTTAGTGAACAGACGGCTGGTTTTAGTGAACAGTGGTAGTGGAAACACCGCAGGTGGTTCCTCAGATTAGAAGTATTCCCGCCGCTTGTCTTGCACATAGCATCACATTTTGAAAAGTGGAGCCATACTTTTGAGCGCTTTCTATCAGCCATGCTTTGTTGACGTTACCAGCGGCTACTGACGTTATTATGCTCTTGTGTGTGCAATGCTGTGTTCATGTACGGCATGGAAAATTGCCCACTCTTCCACGCCGTCAGTGTCACAATGATGCGTTTAGGTACCAAACATGGTACCGTTTGATTTTATCTGAATCGGTACTCTGTAGTACCGACAGAATTCGGTCGGTACCTATAAAAGTACCGAATTTGATACCTATCACTACACATGCCTCATCCTCACACCTAAGATGAATATGCTTCCCATGGCAACTATATCTGAATGATCTTTTCTTCCTCTGCACTGCTTTCTTCTATCTCACCAAATCACCTGTGTAAACGCTAACTCCCTTCTTTTGCCAGCAAGAACAATTACCTTCACCCTGCGTTCATCTGCTCTGCTGACAGCGAAGTCTTGCAGATGAAAGGTAGATATCTACTGCTGATGAGTGGATGAGGTAGTGTTTCTGTGAGTGTTGTGGTTAGATTTTGCAATTGTCTGAAGGAGAGCCATTTTGGCTCTGATCTGTCCCATTCAATTACTCCCACAGCAAGGCTAATTATGAGCATCAGCAGCGTTTACACACTCTGCAGGAGAGACCATTAACTAGTTGGAGAGAGAGTTGCAGTTCTCAGTCACTGGCAAATGGAGGCGAGTGTCTAACAAAACATAAAGGCAACAGTGGGAGGGATGACAGGGTCCTTTGGGTGAAGAATTGGAAAGCATTACTGGAATTAGCACTTTTCTCGTTACAAAACTTAAATCTCAAAAAGCATGTTGTCAAAACTGAGTATTTGGGGACTTAAAATAATAACCATTGTGTTGTTTTTAACAAAATAATTCAAGCTAGGTTATTTTTAAAGGTGCAGTATGGAGTTATGATAAAACTGTGGTTGTAGCCTAAAAGTTTGAACGAGCACACCTTACAGGTCCCTCCCCCTTGCTCTCTGCTGCGCTACAGCCCTCCCTCCACAGCAGGGCCTACCGTGAACGTAAAGGCCAGTCAGCAGGGCCACTGATGAAGACGGATAAACAGCTATGGCACATTCACTGATGTGGTTGAGATATGACCTATATGCTTTACATTAACTATGACCTGCCCATTCCATTAACAGAGCTGCAGCACACCGGCAATCTTGAGCTTAACACGTGGTACACGTGCGGGGGAGGGGTTGGAGTAGCGCGTACACGAGTGTGATTGACACTGCTAAGACATTCCAAAAGGACCACTGAGAGAAGCCAGATGAGTTAGGTTTTCGAAGGATAATTCAAAGATTATCTCTCCATATTCTACTGTCAGGACACAGTGACACTTTTAACAAATATGTAAAAAATTTTTTTTACACAAGTTAAGTACTGCAGCTTTAATACTGAACATACTTAGGTGTGTTCCGACTAAAGGATCCTTTCCCAGGAACGAGGATTTTTTTCTGGGGCCTTTCGTTGGAGGCCGTCGTTTGGACTGGAGGAATCAGGGCCAAATCATCCAGTTCAGGCTGAGAAATTCTCTTTCTTGTCCCAAACTGAAAATACAGTTTATGCTGCAGAGAGCAATGAGCTGTCGCCTCAACTCATTAAAGGTGAATAAATGAATAAATAAATGTGTTTGCGAGCAATAACAGAAGAATGCAAAAGAAAAACTTCAGCAACGTTGAGGAGGTGCTAACTGGTTAGGTGAAACGAGGGAATGGAGTGACGAGAGACTAGATAAGTACACTTTGCTCTCTTGAGAGAGAAGAAGAAATCCAACGGTCCTGGGCTCTAACTAAAGTTTTTGGCTATGACGAATACTGATTTCTACCTAATTAGTAAACACAGACTCCTTCTGTTTTATTTGAATTACAGCTACAGAAACAAGGAAAAAATGTCTTAGTAAATTAAAAGTTAAATACTTAGCAAATACAAAAAACACATAGATATATTATTGCAATCCTTAATTTGAGCAGATAAGCCTTGCAGAAAGCCTTACACCAACATCTGGGTCATTGCTTTGAATGCTTTTATCTTTGCACACATTTTAACATTTTAATGGAAAGTAGGCAGAAGGTTGATGTCATCAGGCTGGAGGAGGACGTGACAGGTTGAGATGTGAATCACAGTAGTCTGGAGGAGCAGAAGAAACTTCAGCCTTGAAGCCAAGTAGGGAGGGGAGATCTATTCCCTTTAACTTAAGTTCAGCTTGTCTAAGTCTAAAGCTTTTATAGATGTACCAACAGGGATTAGGATTGTACTGGAAGAATTGTAATATCAGTCTTTATAAAGCACTAACTACAGCTTTCACTTGACTTAACAGGCAGTGAAATGCTAGATGAAATGATTTCAGAAAGAGACCTACTCAGAAACCAATCAGGAATGATCCTCCTGTAAACCAGTCACCTGATCCACTGTTCTGGTTCTATGTAGACTCACTATTAACAGCAATGTCATATTAATGATGGGCTTTTAATTATTTTGAACCGTTTTCCACAATAAAAGCAACAGGTTAAAAATGTATGCACCCAAACCTAGTTTTAAAAAAAGAATCACTAGAGGTCTCATTCACCTAGCCACACCCATACGCAGTCATCCACTGATACTCAGATCAGTGGACAACATGGAGTCAAAGGCCTTGCCTAAGGGTACGTCGGCATGTGGTGGGGGAAGCTGGGATAAACTCATAATCTGCTGGTTGCCAGACAACTACTCTTCCTATTGAGCCATGCCATGGCTAACCCCCTAACCCTAACCCATAAATGAACAGATATCAGATATCAAAGAACTGCGCTGAACTTTACGTGTATTTTGCTTTAAATACATGTTTTTGTACAACAAAAAAGGATGAAAATCAAAAATTGCAGGAAATTCAAAAGAATACCATACATTCATTTTGTGCTGTGAAGTAATATTAATGTTTAGGAGTG